GCTTGTTATGATGTAGTCATTCCTTTGATGAGATCTGATAAAATGTAATGACCTCCATGACCAGATCTGGCATGAGCAGCCAATGAGCTGCACAAGACTTTCTTTGGGTGTTTGTTGCCTGTATAAATATGTATGCATGTCCTAGCAAAGTTCTCTAGATTTTTGCTCAAGCTGATGACTGCATTTGGGCCATCATCCTCTGACCTCTGGTTCTTTGGATTGTACCAGGATCTTCAGGCTACAAAGCCATAAGTTAATAGCCTGGCAGCTCAAATGCCAACCCTGGAGTCTCACGCCTTGCAGTGTCAGCGATCAGGGGACTCCTCCAGCCTGACATCTGGCCCGTGACACTGGGGGTGGCCAGTTGCATCTGCTTGTCCTTACAAGGATGGTGGTGGACAGGGTTCAGATCTATTGTTCTTGGGGTCACTATGAGTTGTACTGAAGGGCCCATCGTAACCACCACCACCACGTGAGCCCTTTCCTAGGGGTAAATCTCTCCACAGACAAGTGCCTTACATGGCTTGCTTTCCTAGAGAACTCAGCTGACAATACCAAAAATCTGCTGGCAGCGCCACAATGGCCAAAAGAACAGTTAAGCAAAGGTAATATCCTTAAAACACTAAAGAGCAATGATGTCACGTTGAAGATAAACCACCACAGATCCGATTGCCTCACCATTTTGTGAAAGTGGGTCAATGAACAAAGAAGAATCCTGTCTGTGAATTCGTGTTGGTGAAAAATAGTGAACACAGACTGCTAAAAGAACAAATTCATCTGTCTTGAAAGGAGTGCTGCCAGAATGCACCTTACAAGCAAGGACAATGTGACTTTGCTTACCTGCTTTGGGAATAGTACCTGGAGAGGCGGGTGGAAGATGTGTCCCACTCAGGTCAGTGATAAAGTGAAGAGTCTGCATGAGATGAAGAGAACAAGGCAGCAACAGTGGACTCATGTGTGGCACAGCCTGTGGACAGTGTAGGATCCAGCAAGGCTTTGACTGTTGTACAGAGACTAGCCGCGAGTCCAAGCTGACTCAACAGCACTTAACAAAATGAAGAGTAACAACGTAATACTGAAAACCACGGCTGCTCCAAGTTGAGACCTATTTTGAGCATACATAAGTCAATCAGTAACAACAGGTAAAGATTATCAGTGGACATTAAAATTTTAGGCTGGGAAACCTGAAAAAAGGGACTTCCTGTAATTTCAAAGTTTTACTGTAGGAGATATTAATTTTTTAAAAATAGCTAACTTTATAATAGGCAAGAACAACAGGAAAGGTAATTATGAAAACAAAATACTCTCAAATGAAATGTAAAAATCTGTATATTTTATTGTATGCAAAATAATATTAATAAAGTATTTATCTGTGTAAATATGTGTGTGTATATATGTGTGTGTGTGTGTATGTATATATATATATCTCACATATGCTCAAAGCTTTTCTGCACAGCCTTATTTAGGGTGTAACAAAGAGTTAATGAAAGGTAAAATTTGGTGTAAACTTAGAAAGTTAACAAGCACTGATGAGGACAGTCCCACTGCTGTAAAGAGGCTGTCATTTCTCCTGAAGGCACAAAGTAGATCTAGTGAATCCTTTTTTGAGTTAGTATTGCTCTTTCTCATTGAGAAATTTTGTTCTTTAAATGTAGACTTTCAAGGAATTTGCTGTTTGAACTCACAGAAGGATGGAACATTCCACGTTTAACCGAATTTCTTCACTGTGAGTTCTTAAGGGACAAGTGTGGGGAGCAAGGTCTAAACACTTATCTCATTACTCAAATTTAGAATGCTTCTTCAGCTGTGAATTTCTGTGTGTGAACTTTGAGCGACTCCTATACGAGGCTTCCCCCAGGTCGCTGAAATTGGCCTGGCTCCTCTCCAGCATGTGTCTTTGTATGCCTAGTGAGAGCTGAGCAATCTCGAAAAGTTTTCCCACACTGCCTGCACTCATATGGTCTCTCTCCGCTGTGAGTTCTTTTATGTGCAGTGAGGATTGAGGACGCACTAAAGGCTTTCCCACATTCCTTACACACATAGGGCTTCTCTCCACTGTGGGTTCTTGCATGTGTGGTGAGGGCTGAGGAACAAGTGAAGGCTTTCCCACAGTCCTTGCATTTGTAGGGCCGCTCTCCACTGTGAGTTCTGAGGTGTTTGGTGAGGGTTGAGCAGTCTCCGAAAGCCTTCCCGCACTGCCGACATTCGTAGGGCTTCTCCCCAGTGTGCGTCCTCTTATGCCTGGTGAGCGTCGAGCAGTCGCTGAAGGCCTTCCCACACTGCTTGCAGGCGTAGGGTCTCTGCCCTGTGTGTGTCCGCAGGTGCTTGGTGAGGGCTGAGTAGTCCCTAAATGCCTTCCCACACTGCTTACACTCATAGGGCTTCTCTCCAGTGTGTGTCCGTATGTGTGTGGTGAGGACCGAGGAACAGCTGAAGGCTTTCCCACACTGCGTACACGGGTAAGGCCTCTCTCCACTGTGAGTTTTCACATGTGCACAGAGCGCTGAGAGGTGCCTGAACGTTTTCCCACACTGCTTACACTCAAACGGTCTCTCTCCACTGTGCGTTCTTCTGTGTGCGATGAGGACGGAGGAGTCGCTGAAGGCTTTCCCACATTCTTTACACGCATAGGGCTTCTCCCCACTGTGCGTCCTTCTGTGGGTGGTGAGGCCTGAGGAACAACCAAAGGCTTTCCCACAGTCCTCACATTTGTAGGGCCGCTCGCCACTGTGAGTTCTTGTGTGTTTGGTGAGGCCTGAGCGGTCTCTGAAGGCTTTCCCACACTCCGCACATTCATAGGGCTTCTCTCCAGTGTGAGTCCTTACGTGCCTCACAAGAGCTGAGCCGTCTCTGAAGACTTTCCCACACTCCTCACATTCGTGGGGCCTCTCTCCATTGTGAGTCCTTCCATGTGCAGTTAAAGATGAAGGACAAGCATATGCTTTACAGCATTCTAGGCCTTCCTTCCTCTCTCCCCCAGGTATCCAAAAGGATGACAAAGTACAGAAATGCCCCCCACCTTTGTGACATCCACAGTGTATCTCACCAGCCAGTCTTGTCACAGGCATTTCAGGTTTTGAGACAGAAATACATCCCTTCCCACTTGCTTTGCATTCTTGTGGGTTCTCTCCTTCAGGAACTGAGACAGGCGTGACTGGATGAGAGGGGTGCGTGCAGGCTTCTCCATGTTCCTCACGCCAACAGGCATCTCGGCTGCTGTGAAAGGTTCTGTGAGGCTTGTTTGGTGAGTGACCCAGGAATATTGTCCTTTGCTCACATTGTAAAGGGTTTATTTCTCGAGGACTTCTTTCTTCCACAGGATCTGGAATCCAGCTAGTGGCCTTCCCACACAGACAGTCTCCATTACTTCCACAGAGGTCATCTCCTGTGTCACTTCTGTAAGAAACAGACAGCAAGCTGTTAGTAATACATGTGCTAATATTCAAATGAGATTCATAGCAGGGCTGCAAGGATGGTTCACATCAGGAAAATAATCAGTATGATTCACTACATCATATTCAATCTCAACTGATGCAGAAAAGCCATTTAACAAAATTCAACATCCATTCCTGATTTAAAAAGCTCCAACAAAATAGGAACAGAAGGGAAATTCCTCAACACGATTAAAAGAATACTGCTGTTGTTACATACCGTAGAGTCAGAACTTACTTATATCTGACCCTTCATCAGGATTTCAAAGGCTAAATGTACATAAAACTGCAGTGGAGTGAGGTCTACTGTTCAAAATGGCTTTCCTCAGCCAGTGTCCTTGACTTTGCTTCACTGCTGGGTGAGAACATGGGAAGAGCATGAATTAGTCTACCCAGCTAGTTTTGCCATTCTCCCAGGTTTAAACTGAGAAGGCTCGGTGGCAGAAATATGAGAATCTATCAGCAAAGAAGCAGCAGCAGCAGAGACGGCAGCCTGTGTCCAGTGGGACCAGAGAGTCTTGCATTAGCCAGACCTACTGGAGAGTAGCAGTAAATGCATCAGAGAACCAAAGACTTGGCAAGACAAAGAGAGCTTTTGTAACACTGGCTTAAAGCTACAAGGGTAAGAAACTGTGTCTTGTTGTTAATCTGAATTGTAACCTTTTTTTTAATTGTTTCCATTCATTCTTTTTCCTTACCCTTGCCTGTGTTCTGAGTGCTTTCCCCAGGCAAAATTGTCCTTTTGGTCTCATGCAGGTTGGTTGTTCTAAAGAGTGAGTGTTCTGAATTGCAACCTTTTAACTTTGCCGTTAAATCCCATAATCTTGAGTATAATTCTGTGAGGTCTGTGTAGCTATTGCAAAGGATTTCTAACTCAGTAAAGCAGTAGGATTCATGCGGGAATTCGTAAAAGATTCACCATCCATCCTGATGCTGCCAATAGGCCCAGTGGTGAGAATCTGTAAAATGCTGGTCTGTCTGATACTTCTCTAAATCTGAACATTCAGATTAAGACAGACTAGTAAGAAGGATTGGCCATCCACTGCTGAAATAGCAGGACTCCAAAAACCCTATGTATTTATGCTTTTAGTTTTTGTGAAAAGAACCTGGGCAGTGGGGGGATGGCCAAAATAAATCTCTACTAGGACCTCTCCAAAGTACTCAAGATCAATGGTGTCTGGAGACCAAGGTGCGTCTGATACAGGCCATGGTCTTTGCTATCACTTGTTATGCATCAGAGAGTTGGACAATGACTAGGGAGGACAGAAGAAGAATTGATGCCTTTGAGCTGTGGTGCTGGAGAAGAGTATTGAGGGTACCATGGACTGCTAGGAACACAAAAAGATTCATCCTGGAAAGGGTTAAACTGGGCTGCTCCTTGGAGGCAAGGATTTTGAGGCTCCGTCTAACATACTTTGGACATGTTATAAGGAGAGACTGGTCCTTGGAGAGGGACATCATGCTTGGTAGGGTGGAGGGACAGAACAGGAGGGGAAGGCCCTCTATGAGGTGGACTGATTCAGTGACTGGGGTAATCAGGAGGGGTGTGTCAGAGGCAGTGCGATTGGCACAGGACAGAGCAGAGTTTAGGGCTGTTGTACATAGGGTCGCTATGAGTCGCAAGCAGCTCAACGGCACATAACAACAACAACAACAAAAGCATAAATACAAAACCAACATCCAGCATTACTGTCATTTCAGTGAGGGAGGCATTTCCCTTGCAAACAGGAAGCAGACAAGGTTACCTGTATTACTAGTTCTATTCAATACTGTATGGGAAGTTCTAACCACAGCAATAAGGCAAGAAAAGAAAAGGCATCCAAATTGGCAAAGAGGAAGTAAAACTATCATTTGCAGATTATATAATCTCAAATACAGAAAATCTCAAAGAATCAGTAAGAAAATTACTCGATCTAATTTCCCAATTCAATAATGTGGAAGGGTAAAACACTGATATACAAAATAAGTCTGAAGCCTCTACAGCAGCAAAGAGAACTATGAAAAGAAGATAAGGAAAGCAATGTCATTTACGACAGTCACTGCTGTTGTTTGTGTTGTGCCGTCGAGTCGCTTGCGACATAACGACTCTATGTCCAAGAGCCCTCAACCCTGCTCTATCCTGTGCCAACTTCACTGTCTCCGACACAGCTACTTCCATTACTCCAATCACTGAATTGATCCATCTCTTTGGGGGTCTTCCTCTCTTGTGCTGCCACTCCACCCTCCCAAGCATGACATCCTTCTTCAACGACTGGTCCTTCCTTGCAACATGCCCAAAGCATGTCAGAGAAAGCTTCAGAATCCTTGCCTCCAAGGAGCAGCACAGTTTCTCCCTCTCCAGAATGAACATGTTTGCTCTCCTAGCAGTCCATTGTATATTCAGCGCACTTCTCCAGCACCACAGCTCAAAGGCATCAATTCTCCTTCTATCATCCCTAGTCATTGTTCAGCTTTCTGATGCATAGCACGCAATTGCGAAGACTATGGCCCGGATAACATGCACTTTAGTCTCCAAGAACAAATATGTCTTGGAAAAAGTACAGCTAAATATACTCTTAGGTGCCCCTTGGAGGTACGATGGTGAAATTCCACCTCACATACTTTGGGTGTGTTTTCAGCAGGGGTAGTCCTGAGAGAAAGACGTCATCCTTGGAAAGGTGAGGGAGGAAGACCCTCAGCCAAAGGACTGACAGTGACGGCAGCAGTGGGCTCCAGCGTGTCAGGGCTGGTGAGGGGCAAGCTTCAAACATGTTGGTCACAGGTTTGCTGTAAGCTGTAGCTGACTTGACAGCATTTTTTAAAAATTTTTTTTATTATTATTATTTTATTATTTGTGTGTGTGTGTGTACCGTCAAATCAAATCTGACTGGTACAGGAGGAGATTGTCCCTCCTTTCCCGGCAGAGCATCTGGTGGATTAGAACCGTGCACCTCTGGAATTACAGTGCAGCTTCTTGCCACTAGGCCACCCGAGCTCCCCGACTTGACAGCATTTAAAACAACACGGAAAACTGCTCTCTGACAAAGATATAAATGTGTTAAATGAGGAAAAGACAGTCTCTTTAACAAATGGTGCTGGCAAAATGGGATACTCATCTCCAGGAAACTGAAACAAGACTACTACTTGGCATATACAAAAACTAATGCAAGATGACTCAAGGACCTCGGAGGAAAACCTGAAACTTAAAAGGTCATCAAAGAAAAAAAAAGGAACAAAGTTAAGAGTCTGAAGATATGGCTTAAAAAGAATATCAAATATAACTGGCATATAAATCAACAGAGGATAAGTTAAAAACATGCCAATAACACCACGTGACAAGGAACTCATCTCTAAAATTTACAGAAAACTCCAAGACCTCCACAAGAAAAAGACAAAGAACGCAACTGCACAGTGGGCAGAGAAAATGAATAGACATTTCACTAAAGAAAACATTCAGAAGGTCAACAAATATATGAAAGAATAATCATATCATCATCTGTCACAGAGATGCACATCAAAACAACAATCTCATTCCAGCAAAAACAGCAATATTCAATAGGCACTGAACAAGAAATGCTGGAGAAGCCATAGGAGTTTAAGGTGCACCTGATCCAGGCCATGGTCTTTGCAGTTACTTGTACCAGACAGCTGGACAATGACTAAAGGTGACAGAAGAAGGATCGACGCCTTTGAGTTGTGGCGCCAGAGAAAAGTGTTGAACACCCCATGGACTGTCAAGAGAACAAACAGGTCTGTTCCAGAGAGGGTGAAACCAAGCTGCTCCTGGTAGGCAAGGATTTTGATACTCTGTCTCACATACTTTGGGCATGTAGCCGGGAGGGACTAATCCTTGGAAAAGGACATCAGGTTTGGAAAGGTGAAGGGACAGTGCAGGAGAGGAAGAGATGAGCTGGACTGACACAGTAACTGGGGTAATGGGGTTAAGTGTGTTGGGACAGTAAGGCTGGCTCAGGATAGGTCAGCGTTCAGAGCTGTTGTGTATAGGATTGCTTTAAGTCACAGGCAACTCTATGGCACATAGCAACCACATAACATCACTGCAGAAACTGAACCTGAATTACTTACTGACGAAGACCAAAGACAACAGCCTTCAATAAGGATTACATCTTAACATCAAGGACACAAAAATCCTCACCACTGGACCAACATTACCATGGAAGGAAAAGATTGAAACAATGATCTCATTTGACTTCGATCCACAACTGAAATCAATGGCGGCAGCAGCCAAGAAGACGTGTTGCATTTAGAATCTATGCTGACAAAGAACTCTTTCCACAGTGCTGAGGAGGAAGGATATCCGTTTAAAGACTAAGTCATGGTATTATCAATTCTTTCTTACGCATCTGAAGGCTGGGTAATGAATGAAGATGACCAAAGAGGAACTGATGCCTCTGAATAGTGGTGCTGGTGAAGACCATTGATGGAATACACTTTGACGGCCAAAAGGACAAACAATCTGTCTTCGAGGAAGTACCACCTGGAAAGCACTGCCCAGGGGGCTCCAGTGCGCCCTCTAGAGGAAGGAATGGTAAAACCTGGCCCCACATACTTTGGGCCAGGATGGGTCAGTCTTTAGAAAAAACCCAGCATGCTGAGAAAGGTCAGGGAAAGAGAGGAAGACCGTCAACAAGATCGACTAATACAGTGACTGCAACACTGGACTGGTGTCCAGAGGAGATCATGAGCACAGGGCAAGAAAGAGCCACCTTCGCATCCGGTCTTCTTTGCCAGGCTCACCGAGGGCAGCCTAGAACTGCCCAGAGCATTTTCAAATTTTCCATCATTATGGAAGCAGACAGCTGCATTTATCTCCCATGAAGGAGCAGCTGGTGCCCGCCTCTCAGTCAGCTGCTCCGTGTTGACTTCGTACCAGGGCTCCTGATGAAGTCAAGTACGCACAACAGAGCACATTTACTTAGACGAGCAGATACAGCATCTGAGGCTGAGCGCCCTGGTGGGCAGACACAAAGGAGGAAGAACAGCTGCAAGAAGACACAAGTGATTGGAACGTGGACTGTGAGACGCATGAATGAAGGCAAACCGAGTACTGTTAAGAGAGAAATAGATCACATAAATACTGACATACTAGGCCTGGTAAAATGAGAGGACTGGCATGGGACATTTCTAATCAGACAATTGTATGATCTACTGATATTGTTGTTAGGTGCCATCGAGTCGAGTATGACTCATAAGCAACCCTATGAACAAAGGATCTGAACCCAGTCCTGTCCTGCGCCATCCTCACACTTCCTGACACACAAGAGCCCATGGCAGCAGTCATCTTGTCAATACACTTCACTGAGGGTCTTCCTCTCCTTTGCCAACCCTCCACTCTTTACAACACCACATCCCTCTACAAGGAATAGCACCTCCTAGCATTATGTCCAAAGTATGTGAGGTGAAGCCTCATCATTCTAGCCTCCAAAGAGCACTCTGGCTGCACCCTCTCCAAGACATATCTATTCGTTCTCTTGGCCATCCATAGGATGTTCAGTGCTCTTCTCCAACACCACAGCTCAAAGGCATCAATTCTTTTCTGTCATCCTTATTCATTGTCCAGGTCTCAGATGCATAGCTAGTAATTGGAAAGACCGTGGCCTGAATCAGATGCACCTTAGTCCTCATACTGACATCACTACTTCTCAATAACTGGAAAGGTCCTTAACTGCAGATTTTCCCAGTGCAATGCATCTCCTTATTTCCTGAATGCTGGTACCAAGGGTGTTAATTGTTGATCTAAGCAAGATGAAACTGTTGACAGTTTCAATCTCCTCTCCATCCATCATGACACTGTCTATTGGTCCAGTGGTAAGAATCTTTGTTTTCTTGATATTGAGATACAATCCATACTGAAGGCTGCATTTCTTGATCTTCTGCAACAAGTGCTTCAAATAACCCTCATTTTCAGCAATAAAGGTTGTGTCATCTGCATAATGCAGGTTATTGATGAGTCTCCCTTCTATCGTGATGCCACATTCCTCTTCATTGAGTCCAGATTCTCAATTAATTTGCTCAGCATATAGACTGAACAGGTATGGAGACAGAATACATCCCTGACACTCTCCCTTCCCAATTCCAAACCGTGCAGTGCTTCCCTGCTCTGTCTGCACAACAGCCTCCTGGTCCAGGTACAGCTTCCTCAAGAGTACAGTCAGGTGCTCTGGGATTCCCATTACTATGCCAGAAATGAAAAGGTTTAGGGAAAAATGAGGTCACCTTCATCCTTAAAAAGACTATGTCCAGAACTATCTTGAAATACAAAGTTGTGAGTGACAGGATAATATCCATATGTATACAAGGGAGACCTGTATATACTACCATCATTCAAATATATGCACTAACAACCAGAGCCAAAGAGGAGGAAATAGACATTTTCTACCAACTTTTGCAGCCATAAATCGAATGAATATGCAACCAAGATGCACTACTAATAATGGGAGATGGAAATGCAAAAGTTGGGAACGGAGAGGAAGGATCAGTAGTTGGAAAACCAATTCGAGAGGAAAGCGGTTCGAATCCAGCAGATGCTCTACTGGAGAAGGAGGGACAATCTCCTCCTGTACCAGTCAGATCTGATTTGACGGTACACGCACACACACACACACACACACACGCATAGCTGGAAAACATGGACTTGGTGACAAAAATAAGGTTGGAGATGAAATGGTAGAATTTGTACAATGATGTATTCATTGCAAATACCTTTTACACCTCACCTGATGGTCTGTACAGGAATCAGACTGACTACATCTGTGGGAAGAATCGGTGAGGCAGCTCAATACCAGCTGCGAAAAGTGAGGCCAGGTGCTGACTGTACAAGAGACCATCAACTACTCATACGCAAGTTCAAACAGAAGCTAAGGAAAATGTTATCAAATTCAAATGAAACAAAATTTGACCTTGAGTTTATCCTACCTGAATTATTTTTTAAAAAATCTCAGAAACAGATTTGAGACCTTGAACACTAATAAACTCCCACAGATGAGCTGTGGGAGGATATCAAGACTATCATCCGTGAAGAATGCAAAGACAAAGGAGGAAGAAAAGACCGAGATGGATGGCAGAAGAGACTCTGAATATTGCACTAGAGCACCAAGAAGGCAAAGCAAAGGGAAGAAACAAGAATTTAAGCAGCTAAACAAAAGATTTCAAAGGGCAGCTCGGGAAGACAAAGCAAAGTGCTATAATGAAATGTGCAAAGAGCTAGAGTTGGAAAGTCAAAATAGTCGAAAGAGCTCAGCACTTTTAGCTGACAGAACTGAAGAACAAATTCAAGTTTCTAGTCAAAATACTTAAGGATGCTATGAGCCGAATATTGAATAACCTGGAAGTATCAAAAGATGGAACATTGCAATCCCAGAGGTATGCAGTTCTAATCCACCAGATGCTGTGCTGGAGAAGGAGGGACAATCTCCTCCTGTACTAGTCAGAGCCAATTTGATGGCACACACAAATAATAACATAAAATTTAAAATAAAAATATATTTTTGGGAGCTCTGGTGGCCTAGTAGCAAGTAGCTGCACTGCAATCCCAGAGGTGCACGGTTCAAATCCACCAGATGCTCTGCTGGAGGAGGGGCAATCTATCTCCTCCTGTACCAGTCAGATCCAATTTGGTAGTATACACACACAAAATAATAAAAATTAAAAAAAAAAGAAAAGAAGAAGACGGAAGGAGTACACAGAGTCACTGTACCAAAAAGGACTGGCTGTCACAGAAGAATTTAATGAAACAACTTATGTTCAAGAGGCAATAGTGATGAAAGAGGAAGTTCAGACTGCTCTGAAGAAAGTGGCAAAAAACAAGGCCCCAGCAGTTGATGGAATACTAGTTGACATATTTCAACAAACAGATGCAGCCCTGGAAGAGCTCACCAGGCTGTGCTAAGAAATCTGGAGGACAACCACCTGGCCAACTGACTGAAGAGATGCATATTTATTCCTATTCCAAGAAAAGGTGATCCAAGTGTATAGAAATCATCAAAAGTTATCACTAATATCACATGCAAGCAAAATACTGCTGAAAATTATCTAAAAGCAACTGGAGCAATATATTAACGGAGAACTACCAGATATACAAGCCGGGTGTAGAAGAGGAGGTGGCATCAGAGATGTTATCGTCAATGTCAGATGGATCTTGGCTGAAAGCAAAGAGTATCACAGGAATATCCATCTGTGTTTCACTCACTATGTAAAGGCATTTCATTGCCTGGATCACACAAATTGTAGCTAACCTTGAGAAGAAAGGGAATTTCAGAACAGCTGATTGTGCTTGTGTGAAACTTACACATGGGCCAGGAAGCAGTCATCACAACAGAGCAAGGAGACACTGCATGGTTCAAAATCAGGAAGGGCGTACACCAGGAATGTGTCCTGTCTCCATACCTTTTCAGCCTGATTGCAGAACAGATCATCCGGGAGGCTGGACTTCATGAGGAGGAACATGGAATCAACCTGCACTATGCAGATGACGCAAACCTTACTTGTTGAAACTGAGAAGGGTTTGAAGCATCTGCTGCAGAGGGTCGAAGACTGCAGTCTGCAATATGTTCTGAAGCTCAAGAAAACAAAGATTCTCACCACTGGGCCCGCTGGCAGCATTGGGATAGACGGAGAAGACATTGGTGGCAGCACTGGGATAGACGGAGAAGACATTGGTGGCAGCACTGGGATAGACGGAGAAGACACTGAGATTGTTAACAGTTACAGCTTGCTCAGCTCCACAATCAGTACTCTTAGCACCAGCAGCCAGGAAATAAAAAATCAAAATGCATTGGGAAAATCTGCTGACAGGGACCTCTTCAGAGTATTGAAGAGCAAGGATGTTGGTCTAGAGACTAAGGTGAGCCTGGTCAAGGCCATGATCTTTCCAATTACTTGCTATGTATCAGAGAACTGGACAATGATTAAGCATGAGATGACAGAAGAACTGATGCTTCTGAGTTGTGGTGCTGGAGAAGAGTATTGAACATACCATGGACCTCCAAGAGAGCAAACAGGTCTGTCCTAGAGAGGGTGAAACCAAGCTGCTCCTTGGAGGCAAGGATTTTGAGATTCTGTCTCACATATTTTGGGCATGCAGCCAGGAGGGATCCCTGTTTAGAGAAGGACATCAATTATGCTTAGAAGGGTGGAGGGAAGGGGAGCTCTGGTGGCCTAGTGGCAAAAAGCTGCACTGCAATCCCAGAGGAACAGGGTTTGAATACACCAGACGCTCTGCCGGAGAAGGAGGCGCAATATCCTCCTGTACCAGTCAGATCTGATTTGACGGTACACGCACACAAAATTAAAAAAAATTAAAAAAAAAAAAAAGGGTGGAAGGACAGCACAGGAGAGAAAGACCCAGGATGAGATGGCTTGACACAGTAACTGGAGTAATGAGGGTAAGTGTATCAGAGACAGTGAGACTGGCTCAGGATACAGGAGGGTTCAGGGCTCCTGTGCACAGGTCCTCTACGAGTCGTAGCTGATCAATGGCGCCTAACCCCATCACTGTCCCGACACCCTATGTCCTATTCTCCTGTGTGGATGGCACGCACCTCAAACCTCTCTGGTTTTCACGCTCATCCTTACTGCCAAGTGACGGGACACTGTCTCCTACTATGGAGGGCCAGGGGCTGGTCTCCCGGAGTCTCAGAATTACACGCTCACTGGACGGCAGGTCTTCATCACGAAGGTTCCCAGAGACTGGTCGGGAGGTTCAAGTCCAAGTTCACAATAAGGAAACAGAAAGGAAAGCAGTTACTAGTGAGAACACTCCTGTAAACAAGGAAACGTCAGTCACAGTTTGTTGTTTCAACTCATTGGCGACGTTAAAATGCAATTTATTAGGAAAGAAACCCACTGGCATTGCATAATGGGGACATAAATGGTGCAGTTAGGAGAATCACGCAGAAAGAGATGTCTTCTGCTGCTGCACGTACACGTGTGACAGAAGAGGCTCGGGTCCTCGCGACCACAGGTGGGAGAGGTTGCTGCCGTCAGATCCGAGGTGCTGCCGTTTGCTGTTAGGGGCCGTCAGGTCGATCAGGACTCACAGCGACCCTCTGAACACCACGTCTGAACTCTGCCCCATCCTGTGCTGTCCTCTCAATCTCTGACCTACACAGGCCCACGGTTACAGTCACTGTCCGTCCGGCTCACTGAGGATCTTCCCCTCTCGCCGACCCTTCCCAGGATGCTGTTTCTAAGAACCGGCCCCTCCTAATTACATGCACTAAGTATGTCAGATCAAGTTTCACCAGCCTCACCCCTACGAAGCACCCTGGCCACACTGCCTCCAAGACAAATGTGTACACTGAGAACATTTCAAGAGCTTCGAAGCTTTAGTCACAAGGGAAATGAAAGTTCTCTTTCACACACAGAGCTGTATGTCCACGGGGAAGCAGGGTATGTGCAGCCCACAGACCCCAGGACAGCGTCTGTCATAGTGAACTGGACAGCACCGACACTGGAGCAAAGTCAACGGCTAAAATACTTGTTCACTAAGGGTCTACGTACGTGAAATGATGCCGGTCTTACCAACTGAGGCCAGGTTTCTGAGGGTCTCCAGCATCACGTCCTTGTAGAGTTTCCTTTGAGCTGGCTCCAGCAAAGTCCACTCCTCCTGGCTAAAGACCACGGCCACGTCCTCAGCGACCACTGAGTCCTGAAACACCCCACACACGCCTGGTCAGCAAGGTACCACGTACTCCAAAGAAAGACGGGCCACACTGTCAACCCAAAGTCAGGACGTTCAAACCCCCCAGCTGCTCGATGGGACAAGGACGGGCAGTCTCTTCTCGTGCTGAAAGCCGACTGGACGGTCAGCTGTGAGCCAGTTCCACCTAACTAGCACATAACAACAGTAATAACTTGTACGGTTACATTTCAAAGCTACAAAGGGAGCTCTGGTGGTCTAGTGGCAAGCAGCTGCACTGCAATCCCAAAGGCAAGTGGTTCGAGGCCACTCCCTGGGAGAAGGATGGTCAGTCTCCTCCCATGTGATTAACCACCTCTGAAAGCCCACCAGAGGGTCAGCTATGGGTCGGTTCCAACTCGAAGATACACAACCACAATTGTTAGGTATGAAAAATACAGTATTTTCAGCTTTTTTAAAACACAGAAAAGAACGAACACACTTGTTTTGCTTGAATGTGCTTAAATGAACCCAAGGCAGACAGAGAAGACCTGTTACAAGTATAACTGTGCTGGGTGCGAGGTGAGGGGATGGGGAGCACCCCAGAGTGAAGGACATTTAATTGCCTGTCTTTTTATCCTTGCTTTCTTCCCCTGTTTACCACTTTAACATTCACTATTAAAGAATACTAAGTGAAATAAAAAGAAAAAGGCTGACTGAAGTGAGGCACCAGCACCGCACAGGCATCTGACACCAGGCTCTGTGTTCTAGCAAGGTTGACCCAGGGTGCCCGTCGGTTCTGTCCTCTCACTGACGGCACTCACGTCCTGACTCACTGCATCCTGTCGCACAGCATTCCAACAACCGGAAATGATGAGCAACAGTTCCTCTCTGCTGATGTTTGGAACAGTCAGAAAACACACCAGAAGCGGCGCAGGAGAGGAAGGCCCTCTATGAGGTGGATTGATTCAGTGACTGGGGTAATCGGGATGGGAGTGTCAGACAGTGCGATTGGCACAGGACAGGGCGGAGTTTAGGGCTGTTGTACATAGGGTCGCTATGAGTTGCAGGCGACTCCACGGCACATAACAACAACAACAACAACAACTGATTTATTTGCAAAGTTTAATACATTGTTTTTCACACTGGATTGTTCCCATTTCCTTCACCACCTCCACCCACCAAATCGTGTGAACCTATGATTAAATGCCGCCCACCGCCCCCAGCTCATTCTCACCCCTCTGCTTCCACCGTCACCCCACTTGGAGCCTCACAGTCATTCTACAATAATGGTTTTATACTGTATTTGTCCTTATGGGACTGAGTTAGTTCACGTAGCATAACATTCTCCAGTTCCTCCCAAGCTAGGTAGTAATTTACAAAATCATTGCTCCTGCGTGCTGCGTAGTACTCCATTGTGTGAATGGACCATAATTTTTCAATCCATTCGATTGTGGTTGGACATTTGGGCTGTTTCCAAGTTCTTGAGATGGTGAATAATGCTGTTATGAACATTCATAAGACACAAACTGAGATCAAGCTTAGCAGGCCGGCCTGTGGTATCAAAAGACTGACAAATACAGCTAAAAATGCAAAAGCTGAAGAGGATAAAAATGATGAATGGGACCTTCTAAAGATTAAAGCTCTGCACCCATCAAAACCTTATTCCAACTGCGTATAAAGAAAGTCTTCTGAGTGGGAACAAACATTTATCAATACCATCTCATCTCATAATGAAAACTGACAGAATACGCCTGGGCCTCCACAAGAAAAAGACTGATAACTCAATTACACAATGGGCAAAAGACACAGAATTTCCACAGAGGAAGAGAGTCAAATGGCCAACAGACACATGAAGAAACGCTCAAAATAACTGGCAACAAGGGGAGCTCTGGTGGCCTAGTGGCAAGAAGCTGCACTGCAATTCCAGAGGTAAGTGGTTCGAATCCACCAGATGCTCTGCTGGAGAAGGAGGGGCAATCTCCTCCTGTACCAGTCAGATTCGATTTGACAGTACACACAAAATAATAAAATTTTAAAAAACCACAAAACTGGCAACAAGAGAGATGCAATTCAAAACCACAATGAGGTACCATCTCATTCCAGTAGCAGTGGCAAAGTTTAACAGGACAGCAAATAATAAATGTTGGAGAGGATGTGGCAAGATAGAAACTCTTAGACATTGTTGGTGGGATTCTAAAATGGTACAATCACTCTGGAAGGCAGTTTGGCACTTCCTCAAAAAGCTGAACATAGAAATTCCGTATGATCCAGCCATTCCACTGCTTGGAATATACTCTGAGAAAATGAGAACAGAGGCACAAACGGAGACTTGTACACTGTGTTCACAGAGAAGTGCTCCTTGTGAGCTGTTACACTTCATTCCGTACAACCCACTGCAACACTGAAGAAAAGGTACAGTATGGGGTGTGGGCACCCCTGCAGAGTGGGCAAGACTTCCTCCTGCCCCTGACAGCCATGAAGGGGGCAGCGAGCAAACAGGCAGCCCAGGCAGGAGCTGCTCACACTGTCCTGAACGAGATCAGGGGCTGCCGACTCACCTGGAGAGAAGAGAACACTGTTTTGGAGAATAACGAGTAAATCACGCGTCTGTTTTTAACAAAACTCATCATTCTGCCATCTTCCCTGGAAAAACTAATAAAAGTGAAAAAGAGCTCAGGTAAGAGACACGAATGATGAGAGTCCAAATCTTCCCACGAGTCTCAAACTCCGAGACCAGATGCAGCTGCACGCCTATTACGAGTGACTGCTCACTTCAACACAAATCAGCCCGCACTTCTGTGAACCGTCCTCCACTCCTGTAGACCGCTTCCCCACTCCTGCGGACCATTCTCTGACTGCCAGGTCCTGCTCCCCACTCCTGTGGACTGGCCCCCTACTCCTGCCGGCGATCCCCATACTGCTGTGGACTAGCCCCCGACTTCTGCAGACCATCCTCTTCACTGCGGTCCTGCCCCCCACTCCTGCGGACCATCCCCCACTCCTGAAAACTGGCACCCCCACTTCTGCAGACCATCCTGTGATGCTGCGGTCCTGCCCCCCACTCCTGCTGGCCATCCCCTCACTCCTGCGGACCGGCTCCTCACTCCTTGAACTTGAGCTTACAAAATGAAATGTTTTGTTGGGACAGTTTTTAAATTTAGGTGGGTTAGACTCAAGGTTATAATTCAGTTCTTGTAAACTTGTTCTCATTTTCTTCAGTTTCAATTTGAACTTGCACATGAGTAACTGCTGGTCCGTCCTCCAGTCATCACCTGGTTTTGAATGTTGACGCTGAGCTTCTCCAATGATTCTTTCCACAGATGTGGTCAGTCTGGTTTCTGTGTAGTCCATTCGTGAAGTCCAAGTGTATAATCACCATTTGTTTTTTGAAAAAAGGTATTTGCAACAAATAAATCATTGTACAGAATTCAATCATAAGATCTCCAACTTCATTTCCGTCAAGAAATCTTTAATTTCTGACTACCAGGTCTTTGTTTTTAACTTTCGCATTCCAGTCAGTAGTTATTATTAATGCATCTTGATTGCATGTTTAATAAATTTCAGACTGCAAAAGTTTGTAGAAAAAAAAAAGCAGGTAGAAGTAGAAGTCGTCAATTTCCTCACCTTTGGCTTTCCTGTTGGTGTGTATAGTTATGTTAACAAATCTTCCTTTCTTCCTTGTGTACGTACAGATATGCTATCACTCACTGCACGGTACTGCAGGATGAACCTTGAAATGGTCTTTTTGACAATGAATGCCACAACATTCTTTCTCAATTTGTCACTCCTGTCACAGTAGAGTATATGACTTCTGATTCAAAGTGGTCAATTCTCAGCTCACTACTGCCTAGAATGTAAATTCTTATGCATTCTATTTCATTTTTGACAACTTCCAATTTTCCTAGATTCATCCATCCCACTTTCCAATTATTAGTGGATGTTTGCAACAATTTTCTCCTCACCTCTGAGTGTCTTCCAGTCTGCAGGTTGTACCCCTCATGCTGTATCTAACAGGATTCCTCTGCTATGAATAGGGCTTCCTGTTACTTCAGAAGTGGGTGGCAAATCCACGGAGTTGGTTTTCACTGAGAGTGACCCTTCAATAAATTTCTGAAGCTTACATAGCTTTGGGTGGAGGGGCTGACATCTTTCTTCCTCAGAATGGCTCGTGGTTTCCCATTCAGTGATCTTCCAGGGAGCAACCCAATGCATCCCACACCACACCACCAGGGCTCCTGAAGCGTGTGAAGAAGATGTAAAAAGTTACAGAGAGCACACCCATGTTTACCGCGGCTTTGTTCACAGCAGCAAAGAGCTGGAAACAACGCAAGTGCCCATCAACAAACGAATGGATAGAGAAGCTGCGGTATATTCACACAATGGAATACTACACTGCATTGAAAAACAAGCAACTCATGCAATATTATTCAACATGGGTGACCCTGGAGGACATTATGCTGAGTGAAATATCTCAGTCACAAAAGGACAAATACTGCATGGTGCCACTGATGTAAAATGGAACTGACACTGAGGTTGAGGTGAGACTGAGAAAGATGGGATAAATAATGTATACTGCACTGAAACAGATGAGAGAGAAAACTGTTGAAAAGGGATATGTGATTAGGTATTACTGTCATGATGGGAGCCCAGAACGAAGGCTGCAGAGTGGAGTGGACCTGAGGGAGGGACTGTATAACAATGAAAGAATTTTTCTTTTTCTTTTCTTTTTTTTTCTTTCTATATTCAACAACTAAACTGGCCCCTAGGCCAGAGATGTACTTTTAAAAAAAATTTATTATTAATTTCAGTAAAAATTTACAGAGACTTTGGATTTCCATTCATTCACTGTTGCACTTTTCTCCCCTCCCAACCCTTCCCCCTAGTATACTACCCTCTTGGAAAAGTAAGTTTCTCTCATTGTTTTACAAACCCTCCCCCAGGTCCACTCCACCATTTAGCCTTGCTCGAGACTCCTGTCATGACAAAAAATACCTAATCACATAACCCTTTTAAACAGTTTTCTCCCTCATCTGTTTCTTCTTTTACTTTTCAAAGAGAAGAGCAAACTCTGGGGGAGATTGGGCAGGGAGAAAAGTGCAATAATGTATGAATGGAAATCCAAAGTCTCTGTAAACTTTCATTAAAGTTAATAATAGTAAAAAAAAAGAAAAAAGAGACAGAAATGAACAACAGGAAAATGTGCACAGCGCGGTCAGTATGGAGGTGAGTGAGGCAATCACAAAATAAAACACCATCTCAGACTCTTCACAAGAGCGAAAAATCAGTAGATAAGCACACGGAACAAGTCAAATCCACAGGACACTTTGTGGAAGAACTGTGTGAAGAATTCACCAGCATTTCCCAGTGACCTTGACCTTGGCAGTGGTCTGTATCTCAGCCATTTCTCCCTGGGGTAGAGTTACTGGACAGGATACATGGAGGTGGAGGAGAGAGGGCCACTTGAGCCTGTTCCCTGGTTTTGTCTGGACAACAGCTTCTGGTCTAGCTATAGGCTTTGTGTGGTCATCAGTAGATATCCTGCTACTCCCATTCCTAATGTTAAACATAGTTTGGTGTCATCTACACAGTCAATTAGACATTCCTCTGGTTCTTCCGCTTTCTGCCGAGATCCATCTAACATAAGCAATGACATCCCTGGTGCCATGGCCTCTTCTAAACCCAGCTGCACTTCTAGCAGTTCTCTGTCAATGTACTACTCTAGCCATTTTTTTAGGCTCTTCAGCAATATTTTGCTTGCACATAATATTAATGATACTGTTCAATTAACTTCTACATTCTATTGGATCATCTTTCTTGGGAATAGGAACAATTTTAGATCCCTTTTGGTCAGTTGGCCAGGCAACGGACTTCCAAACTTCCTGGCACAGACTGGCCATCCCATTCAGGGCTGGACCTGTTAGTCGAAACGCATGTCGCTTGGTATCCTATCGACTCCTAGGCCCACACCTTCAGTGCAGTTTGAACTTCTTCCTTCATTACCACCAGCTCTTCACCATATGCTACTTCTGGAGGTACTTCAGCTCTGACCAATTCTTTTTGGTCCAGTGACTCCAGATCTTTCAAGATTTCCTCCACAGCCCCTTGCAGGACTGCACCTTGAGACTTAGATTTACTTTTCTGTTTTCTCAGCTTGAGAATGTTGAGTAAGCTCTTCTCTTTCTAGTCTCTGCCTCCAGCTCTTTGCACATCCCATTACAATACTTTGCTTTGACTTTTCAAGTTGCCCTTTGAAATCTTCTGTTTATCTCTTTCACCCTTTTCATCTTTTCTTCCCTTTGTTTTGGCTTCTTCAAAATCTAGTGAAATTTTTAAGACTCTTCTGACATTCATTTTAGTCTTTTTAGTCATTTTAGTCTCCTCGATGTAACAACCTTTTGCTCTCACAGGGATAATATCCTTGATGTCTTCCCAGAAGTCATCTGGTCTTTGGTCATTAGTGTTCAATGTCGTAAGCCTAATCTTGAGATGATTTATTTTATTTTACTAATTTTAATGAACATTTACAGAGATTTTGGATTTCCTTTCATTCATCGTTGCACTTTCCCCTCTACCCCCCTCCACCCCGCCCCAGTTCGCTCCTCTCTTCAAAAAGCAAAAGATAAACTTCTTCAAATGCAGATGGAACAGACGCAAGGTGGTAACCTTTTGGTTTGTGTGGACTTGTTTTGAACTTGTTCCGCTTCAGTTTGAACTTGCACCTGAGTAATTAGTGGTCTGGCCTGGGAGCTTATCCATGGATTTTTTCCCCACAGATGGGTCAACGGCAGGGTTGAGCATGATGGCGACTTAAGGTTGACCCACAATAGGGCAAGGTGTTAGAAGGTTGTGTAAGGTGTAGCAGACCTGACTGCACCTAACAGCAGCAGCTTTCACACTTTTCAAAGCATCAAGTTCATCTTGTGTGTCCAATCCTGTCTCAACCTCAGGAACAGGAAACAACACTTCAAAGCTTCCTCCTCAAACTTGCTGACCCCCAGTGCTCCAACATCATTCTCGTTCCCCCATTCCTGTTCGTTGGTGAGTCTGTGCACAGCTGCAGGACAGCATCAGCAAAGCCGCTGGCCAGGGCCTGCGCTGCGGCAGGGCACCGAGCACAGAGGTGACAGGCCGAGGAAGCCCCAGTGCCGTTTCACTACAGTGCACTGAAACGTGATACAGAGAACAGGGAATGTTCAACATTTCTACTAGGAATTCCCTCTAATTATTGAGCCATTTAAAATTAAATTACCAGGGGCTGTTATTAAACACTCTAGCCCACTATTAAAAATCCAAATGTATAATTTAGAACTCATCGTAAACACAGTCATCAGGGGTATCAATTGGGAGAATGTTTCTAAAATGGTTTAATTATTTAACACATGAAGGGTTCTGAGAGTTAATGTTTTTGAGTAATGTGTGTGTGTGTGTGTGTGTGTGTGTGTGTGAGTGTACCGTCAAATCAGATCTGACTGATACAGGAGGAGATTGTCCCTCCTTCCCCGGCAGAGCATCTGGTGGATTCGAACTGTGAACCTCTGGGATTGCAGTTGCAGCTCCTTACCACTAGGCCACCAGAGCTCCCCTGTTTTTGAGTAATTTTCCATCACTTGAAAAGAGGCATTGCTCTGTGCTTGAGCTAAACTGAAAAAGATTCTCATTTAATACAAACCAAATGATGTAACTTTGTTTCAGTGAGAACCGTGAACACATACGTCTCCTAGGCAGATCCTATTTAATGTAGCTTAAATTTAAACTTTCATTTTACATTCTACTTCAAGACTATGGAGAAAAAGAAGAAAGTACCAGCATGAAATACCAACTGGAGGGGCCGGTGTGAGGACAGGGACTTAGTGGAGGTGTCCTGCTTCCCACACACCTGGACCTTCATACAAAGGTGTTGCTCACCTGAGGAAACACAGGTTCTGAGAACTGGCACAGGAGCCAGCGGCACTCACTGCCCCAGCGTCGTACCTGGTGACATCAGAGACCACCACCCAGGGCCCTGTAAACCAGCCAGGACCTTCCTTTTCAAACCCTGGCCTCTTCTGAAACCATTACACAATTTGACAGGGGAGCTGTGGTTTAAAAACTGCACAGCACATGTCCCAGTGTCAAAGGGAGGTCGATGAAACTGATGAAAATAAACAAAAAACCTAATATGCAGAGAAGAAGGGCCCTGTGACAGGAGAGGGAGGCCTCAGGACGACCCCTGGGCCCCAGTCTCTCATCCTCCTCTGACATCTGTTTTCTTTATGAAGGAACCACAGTCTCGCAGGACACAGTCCCCCAAGAATTTATATCCAGTTTTACCACATATGGTAAGAATACCCCAGGTCTCTGTAGAACTCACCATTTCCTCTCTGCAGGTTCTGAAGTCTAAGAGGATGTCATCTCTGAGCCCGAGAAGCCACTTCAGGAAAAGAGCAGGGCGTGTACACGGAGCACTGGGCTGTCTGGAAGTAGGCTGAGCAATGATTTTTTCTCACTCTGTCAAAGCAGGTGAAACATTTCCTGTCATTAAAAGATGTGCAGGACAGCTGCACTGGTTCCCCAGATGCCTGGACTGGACGGGTTCTCTCTGTACCATTCTGGAGATCTGGAACAGAAGAGGATGAGAGGATAAAGTGCTGAAGGCACAGGGACAGGTGTGTGGCTCCTTGCAGCTCAGGATGCGGTCCACCCTGGGGATGTGTGCACTAAAGGCAGCACAGATGCCAGCCCCGAGCTTACCCCTGTCCTCCTCATGCAGTTCTGTGGACGGACTTCTTTCTGACAAGACCACACACTTTTCTCATAGCAGGAGGGCAACTAGGTCTCCCCACGCTGGAAAACCTGATCTGGATCCAAGAACCAGAGGTGTAGCTTGCGCCTAGGGAGGGGCTCAGCTATGTAATCGAGTCCCCAGACATCAACACACACATGGTTATTTAATATGAGTTCATTTTCAGGAAGACTGTTGCAATGTTAGAACTTTGAACGATGGCTTTTCTATCCATGTGTCAGCAACCAGTGGGGGCTTAGTCTCCAGCTATCTCAGCAGCAGACTTGGTCTTGCAAACCATCAACAGCTTCAAAACCAGTATAAGAGAGAGAGCACTTTCCACACTGTGGAGAGACTGTGAAAGGAACCTGTGGTGAGACTGAGAAGTGGCTTCTGGATGACTGAATGAACAGCTGACTTGGGACTCCTACGAGACAAAGCTTGCTGGACGACTGAGGAAACCAGAGGTTCATTTGTGCTGCTGAACTGAAGCTCGACTTCCACCTGTTGACTGAGAAGCT